TCTGGCAGGAATCTTCATTTAGAGTAAATATTTCAGGAGGTGGGACCGGCCATTGCAGCGCAGGGCAGAAAAAAGGAATAGCAGCTCTTTCCACCAGGAAAAAAAGTCTGGAAGCTTTGGCTTCAGGTGCAGTTGTTGGGGCAGCCTGGGCACTTCTTGGGCAAGAAGAGTTTTCTCTGATGGTACCTTTTGTGTGGAAGGAACCTTCATTTGGATTCAAGTCTCCAGGAGGTGTGACCGGCCACTGCAGCGCTGGGCTGAAAAAAGGGAGCAGCAGCTCTTTTTAGCAGGAAACAAAATCTGGAAGCTTTGGTATCAGGTGTAGTTGTTGGGGTAGCCTGGGCACTTCTTGGGGAGCAAGAGCTTTCTGTGGTGGCATCTTTTGTCAGGCAGGAATCTTCATTTAGAGTAAATATTTTAGGAGGTGGGATCGGTCATTGCAGCGCAGGGCAGAAAAAAGGAATAGCAGCTCTTTCCACCAGGAAAAAAAGTCTGGAAGCTTTAGCTTTGAGGTGCAGTTGTTGGGGCAGCATGGGCACTTCTTGGGCAGCAAGACCTTTCTGTGGTCGCACCTTTTGTCCAGCAGGAATCTTCAGCTGTATTCTATTTTTCAGGAGGTGGGATCAGCCATTGCAGAGCAGGGCCGAAAAAAGGAAACAGCAGCTCTTTTTACCACGAAAAAAAACTCTGGAAGCTTTGGTTTCAGGTGCAGCTTTGGGACAGCCTGGGCACTTCTTGAGCACGAAGACCTTTCTGTGGTGGCACCATTTGTCTGGCAGGAATCTTCATTTACGTTCCATTTTCCAGGAGGTGGGACCGGCCATTGCAGCGCAGGGCTGAAAAAAGGGAAAAGCAGCTATTTTTACCAGGAAAAAAAAGTCTGGAAGCTTTAGCTTTGAGGTGCATTTGTTGCGGCAGCGTAGGCACTTCCCGGGCAGGAAGGCCTTTCTGTGGTGGCATCTTTTGTCTGGCAGGAATCTTCATTTAGAGTAAATATTTCACGAGGTGGGACCGGTCATTGCAGCGCAATGCAGAAAAAAGGAATAGCAGCTCTTTCCACCAGGAAAAAAACTCTGGAGGCTTTGGCTTCAGGTGGACTTGGTGCAGTCTGAGCACTTCTTGGGCAGTAAGAGTTTTCTGTGGTGGCACCTTTTGTCTGGCAGGAATCTTCATTTGGATTCAATTCTCCAGGAGGTGTGATCGGCCATTGCAGCGCAGGGCAGAAAAAAGGGAACAGCAGCTCTTTC